ATCATTAAGCCGCTGCGCCACCGCGTCCCCCTTCCTGGATCTAGGGATGCAATATTTCTAACGTTGTTTAATATTTGGGATGCAGCACATTGTGAATAAGTTTAGAGAATGTAAGCCTTGTTCAAGACCTGTAAAAAAGAAGTAAAGTTTTGCACCTTCTGAGTCTAACTGAAAAAGCTACCCAGACTCAAATGTGCTCTTGCTCTGAGACTTATAATTTGGTGCCAGTGGGGACTGATATTAATTTGTTTATTTAAAACATTTATGCTTTGCCTTCAGCCTGGAAGACTTCTAGATATTATATAATATAATAATAGTAAGACATCAGGATTACATACTAAAAACACATAACACAGGAAAGGAGGGGAAAGGAGATTAAAATAAGTTGGACGCTAGTCACTAAGGTTTCATCATTTTTGTGATAGAAATGGGCCACTCAGAAACAGCAACAACCAAACAACAACAACAGGCAACAGAATCACCTTATGCCTCTGCTGCTTTTTCTCATGTTGGCTGGTCCTGATGCCTTATGATATTTTGAAAGATTCAGGTTATTTCTCTGTAATCAGTGTCTATATTTGGAGCTCTATTTTCAGTAAAGTTAAAAAGTTATCTCAAATTCTGCATCTCATGAGACTAATTATAAAACGTCTTTGTAACTATAAAAAAAATTGCCTTCTAAAATAGGGAAATGTATGTATGGACTAAAATGAATTTCCCATAGATATTAGAGATACATGTTTTATATAAATGGAACTGAGATATGTTTAGTTTAGGAATTATGTCTGTTTAAAGACTTCTAGTAAAGGTCTACTGCCTCCTAAGGCAATTTGTTCCATTGTTGGAAAGCTCTTTCCATTAGATAATGGCACACTGAAACCTACCACCTTATAATTCAACTCATGATCTCTTGTCTTCTGGAACACCTCTGAATAATTCTGCTCTCATCTTTTTACATTATAGGCCTTCAGATACTTGAAGATCATTATTATGTGTCCTTGCAAATCTTCTCCAGGCTAGACATTCCCAGTGCCTCCAGTTATTCCTCATATGGTTTTCCTTTTACACCCCTTATCAGCTTGGTCACTCTCTTCTAGACATACTCAAGTTTATCAACATCTTCCTAAGATGCAGTGCCCAGAACTGGATACAGTATTCTAGCTGTAGTAAGACCAATGCAGAAGAAAGAATTATGACTTTTCTTGATCTTGGTGCTATACTTCTGTTGATGCCATCTAGAATGGCTTTTTTTTTGTTTGTAATTGCAGCTGCCCATTATAGTGACCCTGCCTCATATTCATATGTTTGATATAAGACTTTGCATTTGCCCCTGTTGAAATTAATCTTGCTGGTTTCTGTTTCTTGTTTCAACTTTTCCAAGATGCTCATGAATCTTGACACTGTCTTCTAAATTGTTTGCTATCCTATGTTTTTGTTATTTGCAAATTTGATAAACAAAGTCATTTATAAATATACTGAATGGCACATGGTCTAAAGCAGAGCCCTGGGGTATACTATCTGACATTTCCTTCCAGTTTGTAAAGCTATTGATATATAATGGTTGGGTATGATTGTTCACCCAACTCTATATTCCTCTAACAGCAACACAATCCATTTTCTTTACTAGAATCTCATGGGAAAGTTTCTTGAATACTTTGCTGAAGTCAAGGTACACTATGTCCATGGCACTCCCACAGTTAACTAAATTGGTCATTCTATCAGAAAAGGAAATCAGATTAGTTTGGTATGATTTATTCTTAATAAATCCATGCTGGCCCTGCCAAACATTGAATTCTTTTTTAAATGCTCACAAATTGGCTACTTAGTAATCTGTTTCAGGGTTTTGTTCAGGATCAATATCAAGTGGACTGACCAGTAGTTAGCTTGTTTTCTAAGTACAGGAACAGTAACAACAATAACAACAACAACAATAATTTATTAAATGTGTAGACCACCTGATTCTCATTGACTCTGGGTAGCTCACAACAATCAAAGAAATTACAGTGAAATAAATGAAACATAAAAGATAAATCTAGAAAATAAAAGATGCAAAGTGCAACAGACAAATGGAATGAAGCAAAGGGTCTCACTCTCCCTCGCTGCTTCTAAGCAACAGCAGAATGGGGGCCATCCAGATCTTAGGAGGAACCTCATTCCAGAAGGCAGGCACTGCTACAGAGAAGGTGTACATCTGGGGTCCCAATAGATGACATTATTTAATCAAAGGAACCTAGAATGTACCAACCCTGCAGGATTGAATCGGCTGGATGGATACTATGGGATAGAGGTTGTCCCTCAAGTAACCAGGCTTTATGCCATGTAGGGCTTTATAGGTAACAACCAACAATATTTGCCTTTCCGTAGTTCTCTGGCATTAGATATATGCTTCATGATTTCTCAAATAGCATAGAAAAGGCCTCCAAGATGACATCCATACATTCTTTCAAGTCTTCTCAAATATTATTGTTCTGGTTCTTAACTTAATTATTCTGGTCCTCAATTTAAAATTCAGCCATGAGGGCTCCTTAACCATTTCCCTGCCTATCTTAATTTCCCAGACTCTTCTTTTTGTGGTTGTTCTGCTTAGCTCCAATTGAACACAGTTCCCTTTTGGGGAAAAGACTGAGGCAAAGTAAAAGTTGAAGATCATTGTCTCTCCTTATCACCTATTACTATTCCACTGTCTCCTAGCAGCTGGTTCACCTCTTCCTTTTTCTTCCTTTTCTTCCTTTTTGTTGCTTATAGCTTCCCTTGTACGGGTTTAAGCTCTTTTTGTACTTTAGTCTTCTACTTTTCTTTCCACAGATATTTGCTACTTGCTGGTAGACTTCCTTAATGAATACACCTATCTTCCATTTCCTGTCCCATGTCCCTTTTAACTCTTAGCTCAGTCAGAAGCTTCCTTTGTATTCAGATTTGTTTTCTTAACTGTCTTTTTTCCTTAAAAGTGTGCAGTCGTACTTCTAGTATCTTACTTGTGAAAAGTTAAGAAGAAATTGAGGTGACCTAATTTCCTTGTCTCTTTTCAATCTTTGAAACAGTCAACAAGACCACTGAGGAATTTTTGAGATCTTGCAGGCTTGACCAAGTTGGTTTTCCAACAGGTGTTCAGGTAGCTCGTCTCCTATTACTGTAACACAGATTATATAAGAAGGGCATAATTCTTAGGCAAATTTCAGAAATCT